TCAGCTGGCCCCTCTTTGATGGAGACCCACCACACTCTGGGGGCAGAGGGAGGAATCAGACCAATATTTTCCTGCCAAAAGAACGTTATTTCCCACAACATAATGTATTCCCAAAGAGTTTGACTAAGTAATACTGAGTCAGTTGCTTCCAGAAATGTTGAATCATTCTGTCTTGGACAAAAATGGATGGCTTTGAGAGAGAAAAGCAATGCATTCAAGTTACTCTGGTGATTAACTGGGACAATCACCTTCCATTGAATATTCACTCCAATATTAGAGACATTAAATATCTTTTTTTTTTTTTTCCCCAGTGACATGGCTGTGGATGCATCACTGGAGCATTTAAGTTCCTATAAAATGCAAACCCAAGACACACCACAACTGAAAGCAAAACACTGAGACTCTTCCCAAAGAAAACAGCAAATCTCCTCCTGAGCCCTACCAAAGAAACCAAAGATGAATTTGACATATTCCTTGCTATTTTGTTGTTATCCTTGTTGCCACCAACATCTTCCTAAACACCTCTTTCTCCAGACCTTGCTCAACACCAAATGATCCAGATGATGATGGATAAGCTCCCAGATTCCCACATAATGTTGGAGTTTCCTTTCTTTGTGTTTTTTTTTGTTGTTGTTTTTTTTGATTTGCAAAATAACCTGGTAAAATGTGACCCCAAAGAGAAGCTGCAAAGTCAAAAGTAATGCCAGACAGGCTGGGCTCTGTCTCTCCCTTCATCAAGGAGTGGATTCCTGAGCAATGGGAGGCAAATGAGCATTTGCTCTGCAGGATCCCAGCACAGATTTATCCCTTTTTACGTGCCCAGTTTGAGAAACTCGCAGCTTCATTTGCAGCAGGGCTGGCATTTCCCAGCTAGAGTTGCTCAAGTGCCTTTTTCTATTATAAATAGTCTCCAGAGAGCTAAAACAAAACAAAACAAAAGCCTCCTGTATCAGAGCAAAAAAGAAGCAAGTCTTGTGTTGGGTTTGGTACCTTGAGTCTCCTTTGCCTGCTCAGTTCTCTTGGAAACACCTCATGGTTTAACCACCAACCAAGCAGGCATCAGGTGGGTCAAGTGAGCTAAAAACCACCACAGAGAGAAGGCCCCACACTCTGACCTGCAGGGCAGCACATCCTGAGCAATACTGCTTTTCATCTAGGAGCTGGCAGGGCTGGGAGCCCCTCCTGCTGCTCCTGTGGGGTGGTCACCACTGCTGGGACCATCCCTTGCCTGGCTCCGGGCACCCTTCCCAGAGCCCAGCTCCTTGCTGCATCCCTGCAGCTGGACAGGACAGCTGGGATACCAGAGCCTTGCTGGGACCTGCCCTCCCCTCCTGAACCCTCCATGCCTGCAGTGGCTTCACCTGCAGACCCAGTCCCACTGGAAGATGGGCAGGGCACCCAGAGGGGGATGTTATCTGCGGGTTCACGGGCAGGGCTGAGGAGGCTGCAGCCTGCTCCTCCTCTCCAGCAGCCTCTGAGCGTGGCTGCATCTGGCAGACCCGACCTGGCAGCTGCTATTTTGGGCAGCACTGCCTCCACGGGGGTGGGGGTGTCACGGGGAGCCCAGCACAGCCACAGCAGAGAGAGCCAGGGCAGCCGCACACGCCGCGGCGCCTCGGCCACGCTCACGGCAACGAGCACAAACTAGTGTGGCTTTAAGCCACAGGGTCCCCTGCCTCCCTCAGGGCACAGGTGCACAGACCCCATCAGCATCGTGGCTCGTGGGGGGGTTTCTCAGGCCTGGCTGACGTGGTTTCTGACTGCACCCCGTGTGCCAGAGCTCCCGCGTGCTGCCAAGGAAGCAGCACGAGGAAGGGCAGGCTGCTCCTGCCATGCACCCCGTTTGCTGCCCATGGGGCTCCACCACCTGCAAGACCTGCTCGTGCTCTGGCCTGTCCTACAGCCCCACAGGAGAGCCCAGCCATGGCAGGATGGGCTGGCTCCCTCCCTATAGCATCTCTCTGAGCAGGGCATCGCCCCAGGGCTCAGGCTGCCACCACTTTGCTGGGAGGGTGGTGGCAGTGGGAGGGGGATCTTTTGCTGGCTGGCATGTGTCCCAGCTCACCACCCAGGGCTCCAGGGAGGCTGGCCATGCTGATGGGTGGCTGTATTCCCG